CACGATGAACGGTGTCTTTCATGCGCCGTTGCTCTTTTACACTTGCAGCAGGCCAACATGTAAAAAGTTTTTCAATCATTATTTTGTGAAGATTTATGAATGCCACGATCGTCGAGAACTCGAAAATAAAAGTGTATAACTAGCACTTTACGGAAGAGAGTTTGTGCGCCATTTGCTTTTCTTTCTGAACGAAAATTTTAATGATTTTTCTTTTGCTGGCAGCATGATGCAGTGATAAGTAGCGCTAAACCCATTAGCAGGACAGCCAATCTTTCAGCAACTTTTCCATCCGTTTCTATGGTAAACGGTATTGAGGTACCAAAAACGGCTATCAGTGTTGCTTCTAAGCAAAATTGAAGGGGATACAGTAGACAGCCTGATTGCTATTAACATGTGCTAACTGCTCGAGCTGCTTCCGATTGCTTCACCTCCCGTAGAAAATGAATTAAAGAGGCGCCCTGTTTTTATTCCATTTCTACTTTTTCGCTGCGAAGCTGTTTTTATGACTGTCGAAATTCTTTAAATAATGTGGGCAAGTTCTAGTGAATAAGGTGTTTTTTGATTTGAGGATTTTGTCAATTTCTTAAAAATTTTTTGCTTAATTAACAATTCTGGTAGATTGCAGTACTTGAGAATTTCATCAGAAAATCTCAGTTTTTTAAATTTAGTTTTATTTCAGCGATTCAGTTAACAAATTTCCACAGTAAGACCTACTCTCAAAGAACTGTTGTATTTAAAAACGAAAAATTGAACGAAACCAAGCATACACTGAAAAAAAAAAAACCCGACAGTTATGGATATGCAAGTAAACAGATGATCACAAAACATACAGTGCCGCAGAAGCGGCTAAAAAAAACGAAATTCGACTTCGTATTTCTGAATTCAGAATTTTGCGACACCGTTTTTCTTTTTGCAATTTTTTACTGTTGACACCAAGTACAGCAATTAATTCAGTACAAGTGCACCTAATTTTACAAGAATGTAGAGACCACGTGGGCAGAGAAGTGTATGTATCTCATGTTACTGATATTACTCAGCCTGAAAATTAACCCATCGATTAAGAAGCTGATGCAAAGTGCGGTGATGGCTTGAAAGAAGTTGACAGTAATAACTAAATATTAATTAAAAGTTACGACT